ATGTGCAAAAAAATCAAATAACTTATATTTTGAAAAAAAATATTTGTTTGTAATTAATTTTATTTTAATTAATATATTTGTGTACTATAGTAATTATACTAACATACATCTCTTACTAAACCTTTTTTTAAAACAAAAAACTATGTTACAATCCGTCATGTAACAGACTGTAACCATCGTCACCATTCAAAGGGGAGGGTCCTGATATTGAATCCTCCTCTCCTCTTATCAAAGGTCCTGATATTATAGTCCGCTATAAGATGGATTGTGACACAAGATTCTGTTTTTAAAAATACAATACATGACAACACTTAAAGAATTGAAATTACTTGCAAAAAAAGTTTATTTCTTATTTTGTTTATCAAATTTCGTTTTCATGGACAAATTAATGAAAAAGTAACAAAAAAGTGTCTTTAAGTAAAAACACATTTTTGAAAGAATAATTTTTTATGAATTTTCTAATCTTAATATAAATGATTTTTTTTTATTGAATCAAATTGTAAAGTACTAGTCTAAATAAAACCAATTAAAAGTAATCTAAAACTACATATGGTATACTTTTATTTCAATTTTCTTCACTCGCCTTCCCTTATTTTAGTTTCCAACAGCATATGACGCTTTGCTTTTTCTTCATTTTTCTTGAGTTCGGAAAGCTACTGAGCTAAGTTATTCCTTTTGCATTTTGGCAACTTGATATAGACATTCAACCCCTTTTTTTTCCCCCCTTTCTCATTGGCAGTGTTGAGAAGCAGAAAAGAGACTTGTACTTCAAGGCAAGTTCAAGGAAATCATACTGTGACGAGCAAGTTTATAGTGTTAGGTGGCTGTAAATAATTGACTAGGTCCTAGGTTGCAAATTATTCTAATGAACTTTTGTAGTGTAAGCTTTGTCATTGGAAACATGCCTTTAACTAGGAATCATTCTTCTAACCTTTCTTATACTTTTTATTTTTTAAACACAGAAATTTGAGGGGATGGGGGAATCGTCATGAATGTGCAGTTTAAACCCACATCACAACCATGTGTAATCGTTGCACTATCAACATGAGGCCTCTCTATATTTCTTATTATTAATAAAAAAAGAAAAAGAAAAAAGAACTTCTTCATGTCAATTTGTATTGAGGATTTATAGATGCCTCTCGTTTGCAAATTAAAAAAGAAATAATCTAATATTTATTAAGAACTAATTG